TCTCGTGAATTTATTAATTTTATATGTTTTATCGACTTGAAAAAATAAATTATGAGTGCATGTTTACTACTCCCTCCATTCTTTATTATAAGAGACAAATAATTAAATTATGTTGATAAAAAAATTAAAATTAGTTGAGGACAATTAACGTGTAAAAAGTACAATGTTTTTTCAACAATGCCCCCATTAATAAGGATACAGAGTATGAGAGAGAATAACTAAATTATTAAAAGAAAGCGAAGTGGGAGGGAGAGAGAATATGAGTTGGAGACAAAATAAATAGGGATAAAATAGGAAATCAATACAAAAAAATAGAGACAACTTTTAAGTATCTCTTATATATGGGAACATACCATAAGCATTAAATGTCTCTTATAATAAGGAACGGAAGGAGTAATTAAGAAGACATTTAATACAAAAATAAACAAGATGTAATCTTATTTCAAAACTTGATTAAGTTATAAATTAATCTTATATGAAAAAAATTTTAGGCGTGGAATGATTTAATATATTAGCTGCCACTAGATAAATGATGAGCTCATAATACAATGTACCGTCCGAGTGCCTTCTTAATGCTTTATATGCAAAATAATACCTCCGGTCCTAATTATAAGATTCAGTTTGACTTTTAGTTTGGTTTTAAATATAAGATCTCAATCCACTTTGTCTCTTATCTTTATCTACTTTTTTCCAAATTACCCCTACTTGTATTATATTAAGTATAGTCAAATACTTTGTCTCTTATCTTTTTCTATTTTTTCCCAAATCCTCTCTCCACTTCTCATTTTGGAATTAAAATTTGATTAGGTTAGTTTAAATATTTTATAAATATATTAATAAACTTTTAAATTATTAAAATAAATATATAAATGACTCAAATTGTTAAATTTTAACCGCCCTTGTTTAAATAGCAATGAACAGAGAGAGATCGATTAGTGCTGAAAAACTGGAGTTTGGCGTGGTCAGAAAAATAGCTCGCGATCGTGCAGGATATTTTTTTAAAATTTGATGAGGGTATTTTTGGAAAACAAGTGCTATTTTTTAACCATTAACTAACTTAACTAAATTTTTAATTTTTTTAAATCAGTCAACTGGGTCTTATAATTAAGAATTAGGACGGGAGGTAGTATTATAATTGAGAATTGGATCTCCCTGTTGCTGACACGTTTTGGCCTTGGATTCAGTTTTTTTTTTCTTCCTGGTTTTCGGGGTGATGTTCTGTAGACTTTTTCTTTGAATGATATGAATACATTTCTTTGGCCCAAAAAACAAAAAAAAGAATTGGATCTCCCATTTGACATGATTTTCGCACTCAAAATAAATCTAATTGTGAAAATCGTTGTCTATATCGCCCATCAAAATGCAGGCAAGACCATAAGCAAATAAGCAGGCCTACCAACTGCAGCACTAAAGACCGACATTATTAGGTAACACCGAATACTCACTAAAAAATACTAGAAAAAATTGTAATAAGATCCCATCTATGGGAATTAAATGTAAAAATTTTTTTTAAAATCATCAAATTATTTTAAAATTTCAAGAGACCTTATTGCAATAAATTTTATTTGTTTAATTATCAACTTGTCCCCTTTTTCTTTTAAATTTGCATTGATAACTGAAAGAACAATTGTTGACAACTTAAGATGTAAAGATAGACAACTATCACAGGATATATGAGTTGTCAATACCTGCTGTGATAATTGTCGATCCTTACACTTTAAGTTGTCAATAACTGCTCTTCTAATTATCAATGCAAATTTGAAAAAAATAAAGATAACTTGGTAATTAAACAAATGAATTCTCTTGCAATAAGGTCTCTTAGGGTTTCAAAATAATTTGATTATTTTAGAGATCCTTTTGTATCTAATTCTCTTATGTGAGACTTTGATACAATTTTCCCAAAATGCTACACACTCAAAAGTTTTATTGGGTATAAATTTATCTTAATTTTACTTCATATTATTAAAAAATTAATGTTAACGATTAAAATAATAACATTAATAGTTAACATTATTAACGATGGGACAAAATCGTACTATTTTAAATTTTTAAAACAAATTTGTATAAAAAAATTTTTTGAGTGCCCAACATCTTAGGTGAAAACTTTTAGGATACATTTGTATTTTAACCTTGATAATAATTTAGAGAGGATCTCGTGGTTAGTATTAAAGTTTATTAGGAGAAAATTGGTTACTGTTGTAAAAACCCTTTATCTCATAACGTTATAACTCATCACAAAATCACTACTATGGTAGAAAAGGAAATCTGTTAAATGAACTACCATAGTAGGAAGAAATTTGCATAATTTTGAATTAACATGTAAACTCGATTCCAACTCAAAGTCCGTTGCATGCAACTGAAATCATTTATTCATAATCCATTGGGCCTCCGAGCTTCCGGTCCGGCTAACAACATACATCAAAAGAAGCCCATCCAGTTAGTTTTCAACCATGTAACAAAGTTCCATAACACAATAGAAATGGCCTCCGGCCAACTAAAACGAGGAGATAACATATTCTCCAATTTACAATTAGGCCGGGTAATCAAAATATTTCAAAGAACCCTAACTGTGGCAATATACAACATATTCATACATAAACAAAGGCTAGAGGTCTAAAGCTAACCAAGCTCAAGCCTCTGCGTCTCTTCCCGAAGGCGCACGCCTAGAAACTTCACCTGAAAACATTGTAAACCACGGGGTGAGACAAAGTCCCAGTAACCAACCTTTCCAATTCAAGGTACTACTAAATAGGTGCTCGTGAGGTGTCAAGTGGGGTAGTTCACAAGTAATATGATAACATGATAGCCATAACAAGTTATGCAAGTGCAATGATGCAATCCCATCAACCATATCCCTCACTTTAGGGGATTTTCAAGAGTCGAACCCCGCCTATCCCTCACTTTGGGGGACGTAAGGAGCCATAAAAGGCCTATCCCTCACTTTGGGGGACGTATGGAGCCAAAATGCCTATCCCTCACTATGGGGGACGTACTGAGCCAACCATCATGCATTAATGGAGGCCTTACCACGTGGTAGTAACTATCAAAACTCTCACCAATTCCCAATTCATGCATCATGCTCAAACCATAATCAAATAGTAATTGAACATTTCATAATTAACTTCATTCAGTGGCATATCCTTCACAATTTCAAGATTTCATTCATCATCAAGCGAAACCCCACAAGACGGTTTTCCTTTTTATACACAACATACACTTTGAACATAATTACTACTTGGAGCACAAAACATAAATCTACTCACAATACCACAGAAGCAAGTACTAAGGATTGGAAAGTGGTTACCTCTCGCCTGAGCAAAGAACAACAAATCAACGATGTGGCCCCGTGCACCACCAAGACTCACAATCGGTCTACACAAGCATACAAACACACAACCATCATGTATTAGCTTTCAAACTAATAATGTGGCCAACACAACATTTGGGGACACAAAATTCCTAGCTCCAACCAAAACTCTACCCAACTCAAAGGGTATAACCATCCAAAACAACACTCTAAAGTCAAAAAGTCCATTAAAACCTTAATTCCTCTCCAAATATCAATTTAGGATTCAAACCTCAAGGACCCACTATAAGAATTCAACACCCGAACATCCCATTTGAACAATTGAGGTTCTAACAACAATCTAAACCGATTAAACATCCAATTTAACCCTCCTTAACATAACCCAAATCACAAAAATCAGAATCAACCTCTACATTGTCATCCTCAATCCCAAATCACCTATTTCCATAAACCCTAGCTTCAAAAACTCAAGATTCTTTAAATCCAAGAAAACTACACCGATTAAATACTTAGACTAACCCAAAGCAATCAATTAAATTCAAAACAATCGGTCAAAAACCTCAGTTCCATCACAACCTAGAAAATCCTAGGGTTCCACAAAAAATCCTCAGAAATTCCAAGAAAGAAAGTAGATTAGAGGTTAAAATCACTTGCTTGAGGTAATGGATCCTTAGAAATGTCTTTCCCAAGCCTTAACACCGAAACCCTAGCAGAGCTCCTCTCTCCTCCTTCAGATTTTTTAATTTTCGCACAATTGAACCCTCCAGCGTCTATATAGATTCGACAACTTTCGCCGCGGCGAACTAATCCCGAGAGGGATTACTCCCCTGAAAACCCGACTTCGCCGCGGTGAACTACAATCTTCGCCGCGGTGAAAGCTTCCTGAAAGGAAACTCTCGCTCGCCCAGAAGAACTTCGCCGCAACATGCTCTCACCTTCGCCGCGGCGAAACCTTCCCGAAAGGGAAGCCTCGCTCACCTGAACAACTTCGCCGCGGCGTCCCCAAGACTTCGCCGCAGCCAAACCTTCCTGAGAAGACACTCCCCTCTGAAACCTCCGGTGTGCCGTGGCGAAGTAAAACTTCGCCGCGGCGAACATACCCTGAGAGGGGTACGTTCACCTATTCCTCCAACATATCTTAAATCCAACCCAAACACCAAGATCAAGATTAAATTGTTAATCTATCCTCAAAATCAACCAAAAGAGGCTATTAAAACCCAATAAGACTTAGGATGTTAGAACTGTTAGTTGTTATTGGCTGTGGATATCCTATGCTCAATCAAAATAATAATAATAATAAATTTTTTTTTTTTATATAACTCAGAATGTATTTAAGAATGAAAAAGAGCAAAAAGAGTTCTCCAGAGCCAGACGAGTTTGAGGTCAAACGAAGAACCAAACACGCGTGTCAGTGAGATCATCCGTGATAAGCCATTTCCCGTCCACATTCATTCTCTTGTTTTGGTTATGAGCTTCTGACGTGGCACTCTCCATCCACCATCCTCCGTTTCTCATCCAGCCCGTCCGCCAAGATCCCGTCTTAATCCTACTCCTTTGATCCCAATACTGCCCTTCTCATATTTTCGACTCATCTACTTTTACCACGTGCATTTTGGTAATTCAACACCCCACAATAATTAGCATGCTTCAATTTATGTAGTGTGGTTATGAGCTAGAAGACAATACGATTCTCCGCGCTCCTTCTCTTCAGTTCATAAATTTGCCGCCGGTATGTCGCCGGCAGCCGGAATGCACGTCCCTCTCTTGCCAGAAGGCAAAGTTTTAGTAAAGCCAGCCTCCGTCTCTGGCGCGGTCTTCAATGTGGCTACCAGTATAATTGGCGCCGGGATCATGTCGATTCCGGCGACCTTGAAGGTTCTGGGTGTAATCCCGGCCTTCGTGATGATCCTGGTCATCGGTCTCCTTGCCGAAGTTTCAGTGGACTTCCTCATGAGGTTTTCGCATTCCGGCAACACCACCACTTATGCTGGAGTGATGAGGGAGGCTTTCGGGCCGGCCGGAGCATTTGCCGCGCAAATTTGTGTAATGATCACAAATCTTGGGTGTTTAATTATGTACCTCATTATCATCGGTAAGTATGCTTTTTCTGTTTTGGACCTGAAATGTGCTAGAGAACTACATGTCAAGGAAAAAGACAAAATATTTGATTTTGAAGAATAAAGTTTCTTCTAAATCTTCAACTTGAAAAGCTGCAAAAAGCTGATTGAAATCTGGCTTCTCGCTTTCTGTTTGAAGAAAAAAAAAAGTGTCAGGAAGAGACCGGACGATATATTCGAGCCAGCCACAAAATATGAAAAAATGTGTTAAAAAAAAAGACATTTAATCCATGTTGAATCCCGTGTTTATGCTACTGGGATTCTTAGCCAAGAAATCAGTGGCAATCGACATTGATGTATGCTTGTTTGTGGACATTGGATGAACGGAACAGGGGATGTGCTATCTGGAAATTCACCTGGAGGCGAGGTTCACTTGGGGATTCTGCAACAATGGTTAGGAATTCACTGGTGGACTTCACGGGAGTTTGCTCTGCTCGTGATAGTCTTCGTCATGCTTCCATTGGTCCTGTATCGTCGTCTGGGTCAGTATTATCCCTTCGTTTTAAACAACAATTACCTTCAACACTGGCTTAAAAATCATAAGCTCAAATTCAATGTCCTGTTTGTTTTCAGAGTCCTTAAGGTTCAGTTCTGCAATATCAACTCTTCTAGCAGTGGCGTTCGTGGGCATATGTTCTGGGATGGCAATCACTGCTCTGATGGCAGGAAAAACATATCGTCCGAGACTGCTCCCCGAGTTAAACAGCCACACCTCTTTTTTTGATCTATTCACAGCTGTTCCAGTCATAGTCACTGCCTTCACCTTTCACTTCAACGGTACCTAACTTTTTATTAACTTCTCTTCAAAGAAAGCTTTGAAGTCTCTTAGCAATGGGGTTTGATGAATTTCATTTTGCAGTGCATCCAATTGGGTTTGAACTTGCCCAGCCATCTGATATGACAGTAGCAGTTCGAATAGCATTAGTTTTATGTGGTGCCATATACTTTGCGATAGGCCTATTTGGGTACCTTCTATTTGGGGATTCAACACAATCAGACATACTCATAAACTTTGATCAGAATACTGCTGGTTCTGCGACTGGGTCCTTGCTCAATACCCTAGTCCGTTTAAGCTATGCCTTTCATATCATGTTGGTGTTTCCTCTCTTGAACTTCTCTCTGAGAGCCAACATAGACGAGCTTCTCTTCCCCAAGAAGCCTCTGCTTGCCACAGACAACAAAAGATTTGTGATCCTCACTCTGGTTCTCCTCGTCTTCAGCTACCTCATCGCCATCGCTTTCCCTGATATTTGGTACTTCTTTCAGTTCGTGGGATCAACTTCCGCAGTGTGCCTCGCCTTCATCTTTCCTGGTTCTCTCGCTCTTAGGTAAATACTAAATGCATCTCACATTGTCCTCAAGGAAACTAAGACAGCATTTTTGAGTTCTTCGATTTGATTTTCTTTAATTGTTTCCCAAATTTCAGGGATGCTCATGGTATATCGAAAAGAAACGACAAGATCACAGCACTGATAATGATCATCCTGGCTATAATAACAAGTGTCATCGCCATTTCCACCAACATATACCACCTTTTCAGCAGCAAATCATAGAATTGGTTGATATAGAAGTTTTGATCAGGCAAGCACACAGGGTTAAGGTTCAAAGGGGCGACTTTAAATTTTTTTGTAATTTTTTTTTTGGGGTACTGTGTTAATGCTTCACTATGTCAATTTGTAATTACAGGACCATTGCGTGGGTTGATGATGACGATGCATGTTTGTTTCTAGAGTTTTGGCATCTATAATTGACAAGAGAGAGCTATGTGTAGAATTGTGGGCTAAATAAATAATGGATGCGGATATTTGAGAATATTTCTGTGATTATACAAGTAGTGTTGTTTAAATGTCCATCATGATTTGATCTTGATGTGATGCCAAGTAGTGGTATCAATTTTTAATACGGGGCATGATCTACCCATAGTATTTTGTATGGATATTATTTCTCCAGCTTTAGGCAACATGTCACATACGTGCACGTGCTAAGTTAATCAGAGGTTGCTATCAAATAAATGATATCAAGGGTCGTTTCATTGATAAAGAAGAAATATTATTTTAAATTCAGTCTTTTGAACATTTTCCTATTTTGGAAGCATCCACATATAATTCTCTTTTGGCGGACCATTATCAAATTAGGAGAACTTATTTTTGATAAATTAAATTAAGAATAGACTGAGGATTGAAAGTTTTTATATATATATATATATATATTTTCTAGTTCATTAGAAAAATAAAAAGTTTCAAGTAGTTTTTCTCCTTAATTACCACTGGAAAAAGTCCCCACCATAAATAATAATTTGAAAATAATTAAGAATAAGCACGTCTGGCGTGGGCGCACGTCGCAATAATATGTTAAGCTTGAGTTTTATCCTTAAAATATATTGTTGGGTCAGTTTAAAAAGGGTATATTGTAATTAACCATGGACCATTCAAATAAGGTCTAAGTGATTTATATCTAATGAGCTTAAGGTACTCACCTCAGCTGGTTCCATAGTGCTTACAGTTTCAGAATTTTGTTATCCAAATATTAAATTTAAATTTTAAAAGAAAGAATTTTTTTTATAAAATAAATATGGAAGTACATAGAACTGATTAATTATTAGGTGGAGATCTTCACAAGTACTGTAAAATACAAATGATGAAAGGCCAAATTAAAGATAATTAAATGTAGTCATTAACGGTGAATATTACAATTAACGCAAAGATGAAAGCATAATCCACCCCTCCACTAATTTTCACCCGAAACCTGTCTTTGTATTTGAAGAAGCTTCTGCTTGGCAAACCTTCCGTCACCTCTGCGATGACACTATCGTCTCTGTAAACTCTGCAACAAAGATCAGAGTAAGTCTTCACAAGCTGAAACCTGGACGTCCTGTTGTTATCATCGTCTCCATTAATACCAGTTTCAGGCATGAACACGTCAAGGCGTGGCTTCATTTCAAGAGGGTGCGATCTTTGGACGCCGAATATGTGATCCTTCTGATCGGAGCTCTTGCCTGAATTAACCGTCCACCGGTGCCGGAGAGTTAGCAGATTCACCTTCTGACGCATCGTGAGAACCAAAGAGCCTGAAGCGTCACGCATCACTCTCCTCTTATGGAGGCTCAGGCTTGGTCCTTCCACTTGAAGCAGAAGATTGCCATTTGTGTCAGACAGTTCGTATCGTTGGCGTATAAAGAATCTGTCGTATTTCTTCTTCACTATGACCTCTTTTGTGTTGCGTTCGCAGAAGCTATCTGCAACCACACTGCTCGTCATGCCAAATCCATCTTCTTCAGATTCTGCAACTGCTTGCTGCATTATATATTGATTGTAACCAATGAACTGATTTTGTTAAAGCAGATTTTAATTTGTTAAGGGACACTGACATTAATATAGGATTAGCCAAAGTGATATATCAGGTTTCTTGGAAACGTACCTCTTTGGCTGCCTCTACTTATGACGCGGTAGCAAAGTAAGACAAGGGACCTATTAAATTATTTAATCCATGTTATGCATTATATTGCAGTCCACCATCTGACCACGTGGAAATGAATATTGTTATGTAAGCATAATCCTTTCTCACAAAATTATGTTTCTGACTATAGTACAACATTCATTTAAGAACAAATAGTCTTTATCCAATTCCCCCAAATTTCCTATATTAATTGTTTCCGTCCAATGATACAGTCACTCATATTGGCGCATTTCTATTTCTATGCATTAAATGATATGAGTATTTTTAATTTTAAAAAGTTGCACAAGTTATATGCACATTAATTATAAATAACTAATTTACATACCTTTTTTTTTTCTTATTTCCACGAATTAATTAGATGAAAAAAATCTTATAGGTAAGAATGAAGGGAGTAATATTTGGAAGTAGCCGAAGCCTCTGCATCAGCAGACACCTTGGCACTTTGAAGTTTGACCGAGTCCGTCCCTCTAAAATCCAAGTCGCCCTGCCCGTTTAAGAGCCTCACATTTTCTAATTTCAAACCATGGACACTAATTTAAATATGCTTATTGACATATATTTTTATTCGAAATCTTCTGTCGAACGCACATTCTGAATTTCAACCAAATTATCTAGAAGACTCAAGCAATTCGCACGTAAAACGATTAAAAAAACAACTTCGTCATAAACGTCGATATCAACTCCTCTTCTTAGGTAAGTCTTGTTTGTTGAGGTTTCGGGTAAAAAGGAATTTTCTTTTGGGGGAAGGGGCCCCAGGGGGGCAGAATTCAGGCACAAAAGATTGACTCCTCCTCTTTGAAGAAACTCGCCGATGTATCACTTTTTATCGTTCAATTGATCATTTGTTAATCTTATTCTCATATCATATGATCACCTGCGAAATTTCTTTGGTTTCCCAGGATTGACTATTTACTCTAACGTCCATGCAAGTTACTAGGAAATTTTCCAATAAAAACAAAAGTTACTAGGAACCTCTCCAAGTAATTCAGAAATGGGCATGTAGAGGGTAAAAAGCATGAAATAATTTGAAAATTTTCATGAATTCGTAGTCATTAATATACGTATAAAAACCACATATCATCACAGAATTTATAGATCATAAATAATAGAATCCTTTCATTAGACTTCATGCCGGGTGAATAAATTTCTCCAACAATTTAAATAGGCCCACTTTTAGATTTCGGAAGTTCTTGGCGATAATACTGAAAACTTTTTCATACAGAACATTGCCGTATCTTGTGTGTTCACGTATGAAGCTGCTTACTGATTATAAAACTTTCGGTACATAAGAAAAAGATGGTTACTCGCATACCGCATGTAAAGCTGAATCAAATTAACATAATTCTGAGATTTTTGCTTTAATCAGAAATTTAAGGTTTCAACCATCAATAGCAGGTACATTTTAATTTGTATGTTCAGCAGTTTCTCTTGGTACAGTTACGAACACAAGTTTCAGCCTAAATTGAAGCGAATAGCTCAGGCCCTCGTGTCACCCTACTAGATCCATGTGGTTAGAAACAAAATGAAAAGGACTTAGTTGTGTGAGAAATAACCCAAGCCAATAAAGCATGAAAGATGAATCATCGCATACTGTCAATAAAAATGGACAACGATTAGTGGGGTATTCCACGTGGTGCTGATGTGAACCAAATGAAGCTCGATCCATATTACTCTTTATTATATTTGAATTAAAGATGTGTTGGAGATTGCTTGTCCTCATCCCCGCATTAATGGCCAGCTCATTCATTATAATATTATATGCTTTGAGCCTGAAAAAACCCAGGCAACCACCTCAGCTAAAAGTCACGATCGTCCATCATATCTCTGATCTTGGAATCTTTTCATCAAGGACAACTTGAATCTCTCAACATCCGCATCCTCGAGAGAATTCGGGATAGACCTAATAATTGTGATTGCTCCAGCATGATATAAGGATGCAAGAACTTCATCTACAATAATTAAGTACAATTAGCCCAACAGAAAAAAGAAGAAAATACTATCAGATTCTTCTCTTGCATATCTCTCAACCTCATGATATGAATTATATTAGATGCTCTGCTATATATTGACAAGCAGCGAGAGGGCTTATGGGGGGAAAAAAAGCAGCTACAGGCACCAATAGCGTGGAGATGCAGGTTATCAAGAGCTCTTGCCCCTTACAGATTTAATAATTCAAAATCAAAACAAAAGTATTCATTTTCCTCTTTATCATTAAAAGGCTGTACCAATGAATGTGGATGACATTACTTAAAACATGTCAAAGCTTTCTAAACTCCACAACAAACTTGCTTCATATAACTGGTTCCCAGCCACAATATTATATGAATAAATAACTAAACCGTTACAACCATGGTTGGCCCTAATGTACAAAAAAGAAGCTATAACTGAAGACGAAGAACATTGGGATTTCTATTTGTTACCTGATTGTGAGAGTGCATCAAGAGCCTTCAAAGCTACTTTCCGTGTTCGGTCATCACTAGCTGTGTTCAACATGTTTAAGAGCTCTTGGGCTCCACCCATCTCAACTATCTTTACCCTTCTCTCATCTTTTCATCAAAAAAACGAAAGAAAGCCCTTATAGATGTTAGATATGCAGGTATGCAAGAGTGTACATTCTAGAAAGTAAACAATCATCAAGCGGAGAGGATGCACAGGAGACTAAACAAGTTATTACTAATTGCCAAAGACCCAGATTAGCTGAATGATCAAGGAAATTCTGAGTTTCCATTTCGAAATATAATTCAGTTTTTCGTCATTGGATTGTCAATTCTAATTTCTGTGTCAATAAAGAACTAAAGTTTACAAATAATGTAGCCCTTTTCCCTATTCAGCAGTCAGACTTCACAATAATAGGCCCGTAAACAGGGGGATGGTGAGCAAGTTGTATGTGACAGTAACAGTTTTGAGAGTCATTCTGCCATAAGAAAGGTTTAAAAGGGTTAAAAGAGAAAGAAGAGGCACATTGTGAATTCTGCAGAAGTATCAGAAGTATCAGCATCAGGAAGATTTTTAGCTTGTCAAATAGCTTAAGGGAATTTCTTGAGTTGCTGACGCTGATATTAAGAATTATTCTCTTTATCCTATAGATATATATCAAGATAAACTAACCCATGAATGTTCAGTATATAAGAACAAACTCTACTAGCAGAACCTTCTGAAGTTCAAAGTCTCCAATCTACTAACTCAATTCACCCATATTTTGTATTTGCATAAACTATTTGAGATTGTTCCAGGCTTTAACTAATAGTATAAAGCAAAGATATAATGAAAACAACATTGATATACCAGAGAAAAAGAATCTGTTTAGGAAAGGGCTATCTAACACACTAAGAAGTGAATAATAGTGCACGTCACAAAGTGTTTCAACATTATTCCCATAGGTAATACCTGCTATAAGCGTAAATGTGTCATGTCAATAAATTTAGCAAGGTCCAACAGAAAAGTATAGAAAACAAGGATTACCATCAATTGCAAAACGGGTCAATCTAGAAGCTCCCATCCTTTTAAACAGAGGATCCTTGACTTGCAAAAGAGATACAGACTGTTGCATCAAATTATCTCCTATAGTTATATACGATAGCAATATAGTCAGCTTTGATCCAACAGCAAATGCAGGCATTACAGTTAACAATTAAATCGAGAATACAGATACCCATGTAAGGAAAGAACTGGTATGCCACTACAGATCCTGTCCCAGCAAACAACAGTTTTAAGAGCCATCCAATTTTTCTTTCAGCTTCTTCTTCAACGGTTAGTTCCTCTGGAAATTTTAAAAAAAAAAAAAAAAAAGCTACAGGTGAAGCTGTCCCAACAGTGAATAACATAATTGCACCGTAACAAAATCAAATACCCCAAACACAATTTTCTATTTATATTTGATGAAATCTGATACATGGTTCAGTCATGTGATTTTCTGTTGCGATCACGACCTTTTTCGTAGAATTACTCTCACGGTAGACAAGTCCTATAATGTCTGGGTATCCATATCTCAGTATAGTGTTCTCGCAGCTGAACTAATTGTTTATGGCTTCTCCAAATTATGTTCTTTTAAGGAAAGTGTGGCCACAAATAAGCGATTAAATATGAAGAAGCACAGAATTACCCTTTCCAGATGAAAAAGTGCGGAATTGTAGACTGCCCCCAGCTCTTCTTCTACATAAGTACTGCAAAATGAATACAAGTAAATGATTAGCAAAAGAGCACCCACAACAGCTAATTATCTATCGAGGAAGTTGTAAAATGGTATATGAAACGAAAAGATCTAGATAACAGTTCCGGGTTTAAACATGGGAAATACAAAGATTAAATATCACTCTACATTAGCGAGTTGAACTGCTCTGGCCCGCATGATATCAAATTTCAGCCCGTTCTTTTCTTCTACGAAATTATAAGTTCGTCAGGCAGCTCCTTGGGTTAAACTTCCGCCATGCGTCGGACCGACAATTTTCGATCACGAGAATTCGCACGGCGCGGTAATGGTGAAATTGCGAGAATGTATCATACATCGAAATATTGGTGGCCGCTGTTCCGAGGGCTGCGTCTGAACTCCCAGCGGCACTCAGCATCCCCAAGAAGCTCATCTGAACCGTTTATTCTATTAAATCTAGGCCGTCCATTTCATACGCACTGATGCTGTGAAAAACCTGAAGTGAAGGAGAATGACGAAGAATAACAATCGTACGCCAAAGAACCCATCATGGATTATACGTCACCACCATGAAAAATTTTAAAAGTTACATGACGTGTTTTTTTGTGATCCCTCAGATCAATTGAACGGATAGCATTTAAAGCTTCCACAGGAATAAGAAGACAATAGCCGCTGATTCTGAACCCGCGAATGCTCCAGGCTTAGGAACGGCGGTTGCGCGAAATAACGACATCGTTTTATTTCCCTTTTATTTGAAAAATAAATAAACATTAATATACTGTGCTGGTGCGAATTTAAATTTAATTGTCTTAAATTTACAAAACATGCGACATGCCACACCCAAAAAATGTCACTGTTTATTAATGTTAAGTAATGCAGCCTAATTGAACCAAAAATAAATGGTAATTCAGCCTAGACTTTTTTCAATATCGATGATTAAAGAAGTAGAATTTAGTTATATTTTCAATTAATTCTGGCCATGTATAATTCTTAAAAGGAAAAATACTATTTTGATCCTCAATAATTATACCAAAGACTGACTTTTTTCTAACCAATAATTATTTTTAATCCTCACTATATATAGGGGAACAAGTACATGTTTAAATATCATTTACAAAACATTGATTGATGCATTAAAAAGAGTAGACGCATTCATCTCTGATACGATACAGTAGTGAGAGCTTCGTTATAACTTATAAGTATCATATATTCCGCCATTTGTATTACTCCTCCGGTCCTAATTATAAGACCCAATTGATTTATTTGAGGAGATTAAGGAAGTAAGTTAAGTTGGTTATTTATAATAAATAAGTGTTGTTATTCCTAAAATATTCTTTCTAATTAAGTATATTGGTTAAAACTATCATTATTAGAAGGATTATCTTGGAAAAAAATGTATAAATATAAGAGAAAAAATGGATTGAGTCTTATAATTAGGACCAAATAAAAAGTCAAATTGGGTCTTATAATAAGGACCGGAGGAGTATTACATTTTTTTTGTCAAAATGTTCCTGTATGACTTAAAAAGCTTAAAAAAATAATATTTTGGTTGATTATTATTATAAATTTCTTTGTATTATTTGTTTGAAACTCAAGATACCCGCGTTCGTTCTCGAAAATGCTGAAATACATGACACACACACACACTCTCTCTCTCTCGCATCTGCATCCTGAAATTTTGAAAATTTTAAAAATATGATATGGATTGTCTGAAGCCCGATGCAACACTTACCCCTAATTTCGGTTGGAGGAGAGGGAAGGAGAAGAGGACCTTATTAACTTCGATTTTAAAAATAATAGACACGAGTTATAAAACAACACTAGGGGGAAAATATAAGAAGAAAGAGTAAAGAAAAAATATTTTAAATTTGATTCTAAATATAAAACTTTAATTTACTTATGACTCGTTTGGAATAGTTTATAAGTAACTTTTCAATCATGATTTATAAAATACAAGATAAATATATTAGAAGTGTTTTGTCTCGATTTACATAAAACGTGTTTATTAGTGATTTTAATCGTGATGGCAAACAGGATTTTAATCTCTCAAATTTATAATATTTTCTCTAAAATATTCCCGTGAGAAGTTTCCACCAAGAGATAGTTCAACTCACATGTGTTACAATTAATTAACCTAACTAATTTTTCTAAAATATCTAAATTAGTTATGTAACTTTTATAATTGACAACATTTAATCTTACTCTTTTATTTTTTAAAACAAACTCATTAAAGTTTTTCACTCCTCTTTCCTCTCATCTATTCCCTTATAACAAACCGGAGGTTAAATAGGTAGGATACCAAACACACAAGCCTAGATAATGCTATCTCTGATTTTTAATATAAACGTTAAATAACTAATTTGAGGAAATTAAAAAGATTAATTAAGTTAGATATTTGTAACAAATGTGTGTTAACTTTTCTAAATTATTCTTATTCAATTATGTACATTGATATTACATCTGAGTGAAAATACCTGACAATCAATAGGGATATTTTGAAAATACATTATAAATTTAAAAGACAAAATAAATCGGAGCTTATATTTAGGACTCTCAACTAATTTTTATATTTAGAACTCCTAACTAATTTTTATATTTAGGACGCCAGGTAGTATATTGTTGATGAGTTGAATGATAGTAGTCAACAAAAAATAAAAGTTGAATGATAGTCAAAGCCTCTTAGGCGTACGTAATGACATATATGGAATTCAGTCATGTCACAAGTTAGAATCTATCGAACAAAGAGTGATTCTGTGGTAAAAGAGAGTAGGATGAAAGATTTGTATTTGGGTGCTCGGTAGATATTTAGGGTATGTTTGGTTTGAAGAGAGAGTAGGAGAGGTAGGGAAGGTTTTATTCTTACCTTATTTGGTTTGATTAAAAATAAAAAGAGAGAAGGATATTTAATGATCCCTTATTTGGTTCAAGGAGGGGAAGGGAGAGATAGTAATAATCAATTTACTATTTTACCCTTACATATTAGTTTATATTTTTTATTGATATATTATATAAATTAATTTACATCTTAATTTAAATTATATAATTTAATAAAAATCCAGTCTTATCATTTTAATACGTGCATTAAAAAATTGGTACAGTAATTTTGTATTCTAATTAATATAATAATATATTTAAAATAATCAAATTAACAAATTTTATATGCTCTAAGAAAAATAAAATTTTATTCTCTTTAGGCTATCCTTTTTTTCAGTTTTAAAATATATTTAATAAATAATATATTTATACAAAACAATTAATTTTATAATATTATAATTTTTTATTTAAATAATTTTTTATTTTTAAAATATTTTTTTATAATATATTTTTTAATTATAATAATTTATATTTTTTATTTTTTACTAAGGATAATATATTTTTTATTTGAAATAAATATTATAATAATATATTTTATTGGTAGTAGTAGAATATTAAAAAAACCATAAGAGTATAATGGTTCAAAAAATTAGCTCCCCTCCAAAAACTCCCAATTTGCAGGAGAGCTAAAATAGGGGGAGGGAGGAGAGGGGACATTTTGGCTTCCCTCCCTTTCAAAATTTTTAACCAAATAAAGGGAGGGGCTCATTTTCCCTCCTCTTCCCTACCCTCCTCTCCAACCAAATAAACCCTTAAATAATATGAATGGGTTTAAAGGTATTACTGTATCAAATTATCAATCAATATGAATACAATAAGGCTACCGATGTGTTGAATCTAATGAAAAGGATTAGTTTTTTTATAACATGGTGAATCAAGATTTAAATTTTCGTTGAGAGAAATGCTCACATTTAATACCGAGTAATGTCTCAAATAAATTTGGTTCCAATAAGAAGAATAGTTATGGGTACAAGGAAAAACTATAATGTTATATACTACCTCTGGTTCTAATTATAAAACCTTATTTATAATTTACAAACAATGTCTTATAATTAGGACTGGAGGTAGTATAAGGTTGCTGAAGAAGCATTTACATGTTCTTTTATTGGGCTTTTGTCCAAGCCCGGCTGACCCCAAAACAAAAGTAGGTGAACCTCGTCAAGTTATCTTTTATATTGTCATATTGCAAATGGCTTTGCCTCCCGATAATACTGATAATATGAGTTTCTCTCGAACGCCAGATTGTGAGTTGGGCTCTTCATAAATGTAACGAGAAAAAGCCAAATCATCACTATCACTTCTCATAGTAAAAGAAAAGTCACCAATCGGAGGAGGATACCTCAGCAAAAAGGGGCAAAAAAAAAAGAAGAAGTGACCTTTGGAAATTAAATGCAGTTTTGGTCTGGTACAGTCATTAAATAGTAACCAGAGAGGTTGGAAGCGGCAATATTATGTTGGTTTAGAAATGCTATGGAACAAGAAACAAGTAGGCAGAAAGAGCTGGAAAAGGGCTTGTGAAGCGTCTCTCTCACAGAGAAAAGACACAAGCAGTGCGGTGTTTTGGATGGTTTTATCTCTGCCATGGCTTTCTCTCTTTACATGTGAACGTGAAGAAGTAGTAGAAGGGGACAAGAGAACACCTCACACACACACATAATAATATTCTAAATTAAAATTGGAACTGTATGTATGGGAAGATGGTATTATACATACATATATATATAGAGAGAGAGAGAGATACATAGATCCGTGTTCAATGGTGCCCCCGTGAAGCCTCAATTCTGCTATATAAGTATTTTTGTCACCATCAATGGAGTTCAACACTCTCCTCCTCCAATATCTTGCTGTCACTGTTTCGATGATGACCTCCTTTCATTTATCTGCTGCTTCCATCTCTTCCCCCTGAACCTATCTGATGACCTCCTTTGTATTCTTCCCATGTACTCCAACATTTATATGCCTTCACGGAATTTGGATTCAATGTAGACTGTACCTTCTCTTAAAATTAGTTTCTTCAAATAAATGGAGATTTCTTGGAGCAATGATAAGATTGCTGTCCTGTGACGAGTTGGAATATTTTTAAAATAAAGAGATATGTTTTGAAAAGTCACATCCTTATGTAAATTTATATGAGAGGTTATATTTTTATATAAATTAATAAATTTATTTGAAAGGTTGTGTCTTCATATAAATTAATATATTTATATGAAGAGTTATGTAGGAAGTTACAATACTAAAAGACCTTACATATTAAATATATTTTATTTATTTAAATTATGTTGGTTTATGAACTACCATATGATTATGACTTTTTATTTAATAAGATATTATTCTAAAAAGCATCTCTTCCAGGCCTCATCTCATGGTCTATATAAACCCTTCCCCATCACTTTATTTGTAAGAACACAACACATGAAGATCAAAACCATTGCCTTTGTTTTTAAGTGCACGCAGAGATAGAATCAAATTGTCACTTTATAAAGGCTATTATTTTCTTTGCTTGAATCTTGAAAGTGCAATTCATATTCAAGATTCTTTATTGTAATCTGAAAAAAATTCACTAGTCAACTCAACTTGCACCCTATAATATATAAATACTTAGAGGCGAATTAATCCTAAAGGAAAGTATTGCCCACGCCTTGAAAATATCATGCACAACTTTTTTCTTCATCTCTTCTTTTTATACTCTCAAGAGAACCATTCCCACTAACATGCTAACATGATGTGAAGCTCGCAAGATAAAATCATAAAAATACTAGTCTCTTTTCTTATGAAAATAAGACTGTGGACACCTGTACCTCCTCAGACTTCACCCGATATATGTTTATATATAGAAGCCTTCAGCCTTGTGCAACGGGCTTCACTTGAAAGCTGAAACGTGAGATTATTACTTTGCTACAAGTATTTTCTTTTTTATGCATCGAAAAAAATTGGGTAAAATAAAACTTACGCTGTAATTTGACGAACGATACGATTGTAATTATACAGCAGTCGACAGGGATAGCGACTATTTTATGCTGCCTTGAATGAAATGAGGGGAAGCAGGAGACCAGAAAGAGATCTACTGGCTGAGTTTTGCTTCTTGAAAACGACTTCTTTTCCAACCTCTTCAAAAATGTAGAGCAAGTTTTTCTTTTGATGGGTGATATTTTTTTTTAACTTAGATTAGATTTTAACTAATTCGAATCAATCAAGTTGGTGCTTGTTTAAATTCGCGTTTACGAATTACGAAATTAAAGTTTTCACAATAACATATCTGATGGAAATGTTTATCTTAGATTTGAACTCGTTGACATGGGATTTTATTTGGTGAGTCTTGACAAGTAATATATGTTGCCGTCTTTTTACTTACTACTACCTCCGGTCCTAATTATAAGACCCAGTTGACTTATTTGAAGAGATTAAGGAAGTAAGTTAAGTTAGTTATTTGTAATAAATAAGTGTTGTCATTCCTAAAATATCCTTGCTAATTAAGTATATTAGCTAGAACTATCATTATTAGAAGGATTATCTTGGAAAAAAATGCATAAATATGAGAGACAAAATGGATTGGGGTCTTATAATTAGGACCAAACAAAAAGTCAAACGGGATCTTATAATAAGGACCGGAGGTAGTATTATTATTTGTTTACTCAATCTGCCTTGTTCACCAATATTAAAGCACATGGACGTACATTATCCATTTTGAATGAATTGATTTTTTTAAGGTAATGAATATTCTTCAAGCTGGTTGATATATTCCTTAATTTATTATACATTCTCAATAAAATACATAAGAAAGTCAATAAATTATTCATAAATTATAAACGATATAATTTTTACCTCATTTTCCTCAAGTAGTACGTAATACAAATGGCTGAGAGCAGCGACTAGTTCATTGATTATGGCCAGATAAGCCTTTAAATCAAGATAAAACTCGTGGCAATTAACAGTTGTCTAATTTAAAAAATTTCAAGAAAACGACACTGTGTGATTTTTTTTTTTTGCTTAACAGTGTAATATACTCCATAAGCTTTAATTTATTATATTGCCTTATTGATAATGAATACATATTCATATATATTGGCGTGACAACAACTCGTGATCATATATTTGGAAGTACTATAGCATCCAAATTCATGTATCCTTTTTATATTATCTGCATACTGATTCTTGAATTGCCACCACCATGCACATAAACCCCTCTCTCTGTCTACGCTGTCCATGAAGAAACAACATGCACAAGCACTTATCACTCAACTTTATACTCCAAATGGATTTTTGTTTCCATTAGTCACATATTGACATGTGAGTGTACTTTTCCAAAGCGCCAACTCACGTGAGTCTTCATATAGCTGGCTGCCACCCATCTCACAAGAATCCTAAAACACCATGCATTATCACAAACACTATATATATACACACACACACAGATAGAAGTAACATTATATTTCACGACAAAACAACTACATACATATGTGTCTCTTTAGAGGCATAGATACCACAGAAGCAAAGAAAACAGTAACAGAAAGATATATAAAAGAATATGGATAATTTGGCTGCAGAAAGATCAATATTGGTAGACTCAGTTGATTTTATCCTTCACAGTATGGTATACGATTCACACACACATCTATGTAGTTTTTGCTTTAAGCGAAGTAGATAATGTGCAGGCTGGCTGGCTGGCTCTGTGAAAAGCGTGAATTCTGCAACAATAATGGGTTTCATTTTCACACAACGAGACAAACTTCTCTCAGATTCATTTTACAAATAATTTGGAATGTCACGAGAAACCTTTCTGGTTTAAGAGCACTAGAATTGCTCTGCATAATTGGACCCCCTTCAATGTTTTCTCTTTCTGGTTTTGTTCTGTGCCCCATTTGGTCACGTGACATTATACAAATGGACATCAAAACGAGTACAGGTCAGCAGCAGCAGCATATTTTATATTAATTATTATTGCTATCCTATACTCCTGACATAATTTATTGTCCACTATAATGTTCCTGACCTATATATTCTGTCTCTTCTATCAATTAGAATTATATATAGTACGTGGTTAATCAAAATTAGCAAGTCATGTTCATCATGTGACATGTGAGTAAGTGTAAGAACAATCAAATCCAATCTCAGTCTGTGAAGGACACTGTTTTTTAGTCCTTAATCTCCAGCTGAAAAGGTTGAGCTAGGACCCTGTTGTGATTAAGGCGAATCAGCATGATGAATAGGATTTGAGGGCGCAACATAAAATAGCGAAAGAGATTAAGAGAGGGCCATGCATGACTTAGATGATTTTTCATTTACATTCTTGAAAGAACAGCAAAAGTAATCTTTTTTTCCATCCCGATAATTGATCATTAACTCCAATAAACGGCCACGTTTATGGGTCTACATGTTTATCTTGTATATCGATGAATTATCAGGAAATTACCAACTCAATTATTATATTGAATCCTGGATAATATTAATTGAAATGAATCGCGAATAAAGATACAGTGCCGTTAAGGTTAATAGAGTAGTAGACTCGGGAAACAGGCTCCTGAAATGTGAGGACAAACTCCGCTTACCTGTATGGGTTTGTATTTTTGGTAAATTATCAGGACACCATCGTTGCGTGTCTGTGTACATGTATATATAGATAACGACTTAGACTCCTCCATTCGACCTTGTATAACAACCTCAGTATTGTCAATTTTCTTAATGATGTAAACTTTGAAGCTAAGAGATTTGGGTTCATATATACTTTGAAGCCATCCCAAGTCTTGTTTGCTCTCTTAAAAACACTCTCTGATATGTCGAGAACGTAATTAATCATTTGATTACGAAGGATATGAGCATTATTATTGGCTGAGCATGAAATGATTAACGGAATCTAGAAGTAGGGACGAAAGTAGAAGAGTTAATTAGATGAGCTTCAGAGAAACAAAAGCAAAAACAGCTATACGGACAAGGTAGGATCAGAGTTATGAGTATGGAGGATATTGTTTTCTTGTGATGATTGATGGGCACGCATGTGAATATAGGTGGGTACGTGATTTGTCCTTGTGGCAATGCAGACAATATGGGAAGCAACAATAAGATTCATCGCACCTCTCTTAAATACTTACATTTGACACGATCCATGGCATTATATATATGTCCAGGCCTATGTTTATTCACCTATGTACTACATTGGTTCACATATATGTGTGTCTGCGTTTTATATATTCTAGTTCTTCAATAATGTATCCAATTGAAACATATTTAACAAAAACCATAAACAGCAGTTGGCAATTCATTCTTCGGACATTTGGCCTACTGTAAATTTTATTAAGTAGATCACGGAAGAACTGTTGAACGTGGATCATGCAAGGATAAGCATGATGGGTTTTTTCCCTCAATCATTGGAGTAACCGAGGAATCTTGTAGTTATATGATTCATGTTGGGCACTATTACTATTATTGATGAGTAGTGACTGAGTGATTTAATTTTGAATTTGATTGATGCCTGCTGGATAATGGAGCATGTATTCACGGGAATATCATATTCAGATTCTGTGTATGGGAACGTACGATTACATCTGAAGCTTTGAACATAATTGGCAAATAACTAAGATAATTATATAAGAAAAGGGAACTGAGATCTGCTAACAAAAGAGCTATGGGGGGATATATAGCAATTTAAAATGGAGGTTTTTGAAGGGGCAAGTGAAAGAAGAGGGAAAATCAAGAAGAGTGTCTTTTTCGAGGGAAAGGGAAGATGGCACGTGTGGAGAGAGAGGGAGAAGAGGGAGAGACTGAAGAAAAGGCCCCGTGAGGAGTGTTTGGGGGCATTCCAAAGTCACAACCAATCAACATTTTACTTCTCATTCACTTCTTTCGATGGCCTAATTTTTCACTACGTCACGAGCTCATCATTAATTTTCTTATATTATAATGGATACAGTACATTAATTTTCCAAATGTAATTAAGGAAAAGAATACAACAATTGGAGCATATGCATGCTAAATAATATCTCTTAATTTAATACAATGGGAGACTTTTCATAAATGAATGGTTTACAAAAATTCAATTGATTTTAAGCATATATACAGGGGCCAAGAAATGAAGATGTAAAAGGGCATTTTTGTAAATACAGCTGGCTCTATGTTGTAGTTATTCATGGGAAGAAACTGCAGGAGTGATGAGGAAGACGAAATTAAAAAGGAAACCACACAGACATGAGAACTCATCCCCAGCTTTATACTTCAGAGCTACCAGCAGAGTTGAAAGGAAGGGAAAAGCATCAGAGAGGAAAGAAAGGCTCATCATCATCAAGCATCCAAAAGGAGAAGCCAACATGGTTTCTAATAAGGAGCACAAGAGAGCCGCTCTGCATGAGAAGCTCCAACTCCTTCGTTCTATGACTAACTCTCGTGCTGTAATTCCCTCTTACATATGTTAGCTTTTCACTGGATTTCCATCACTTGAATGAAACCACAGACACAATCTTCTAAAACAGTATTAATTCATATCTCTCATAATACTGTTGCCTTTTTCTCTCTCGTTCCTCTCTTCCTATATCTTGATTCTTCTCCTGTCAACGAAGTCATGGATTACAATATGGATTAATTATCCTCTACTCCAATTTCCATACACACACACACACACACATTGATTGTGCTCTCTTTTTTATCCCCAAATCTTTTGTCAAGTGCTTTCTGGGTCTTCGATAAGGTCTTTTCTCTATATTATAATCCCATATCTGGGTAAAACATTCACAATCTAATCAGTTAATTTGAAATAAGGTAAAATAAACTGTATAGTAATCTGGCAGTTTGCTTCAGACATGTATATCTCTTTTATCTCGAAAACTTTCGGCGGTCCAATCATCTGCAATCAATGTATTTTATATGTGGTTCTCATTTTTTTGTGTTCTTGGATTATTAATTTATGAATTTTTTTTGGGTTTATTTATGGTTTAATGGCAGCTGGACAAAACGTCGATCATATTGGACGCAACAAAGTATATCGAAGAGCTAAAGCAAAAGGTAGAAAGACTGAATCAAGACATTGCCACTGCAGAAACTTCGAAAGACCAAAATCATTTGCCTATGGTATATTTTTCTTGAATTTATTATAAGTTTTCCACAGCTTTTGTTGCTATTAAACTTCCCTTGGTACAATAATAATTAACCCAAAACACGATTAACATAATGTGTATTGTTTAATGTATAATGTGAATGGAGTGGCACCGTGCAGGTTACAGTAGAAACCCTAGAAAAGGGATTCCTCATAAATGTATATTCAGCCAAGAGTTGCCCAGGTCTGCTAGTTCCCATATTGGAGGTCTTCGATGAGATGGGTCTCAGCGTCACGGAAGCTAGGGTTTCCTGTTCAGACACTTTCCGATTTCAGGCAGTTGGAGGAGAAGTAAGATTCACGTTGTGTGTGTGTGTGTGTGTAGCAATTTCTTCACGATGATATGTGTATATGCATGCTTCATTATACATATATGGTCCAATAATGGTTGAACAGGATTAAGTGTTCCGTGATGAGCTTTTTGCAGGAAGAAGAAGAAGGTGACAGCATGGATGAAGAAACAGTGACGCGAGCAGTGGGAAGAGCCATAAAGAATTGGAGAGAGAGTACGAGCCAGCAATGATCAAATAGTATTGAAGAGTACTGTGCTATTTCTCTCTGGTGATTAATTAAGTGCAGAAACGCTATTGCCATTAGGATCTTTTTGTCTTTTCATGAGTGATATATATTTATATATATATATAGTATCGTTTTCTCTTAATGCTGTAAACTTCTTTTATCCGAATATGGGTTGGTCCATGATCAACACTTGGTGCAATCACCTACACATTGGGCAGTCAAATCAACTAATTAATTAAGGGCATGATGATATGATAAGAATTGTTATGAGCAAAATGACAGACAATGTTACTACTATTATAATTAAACTGATGCATTGTATACTTACTTAACTAATGATTTCTTTTGTGTTAGATATAAACGTTTTATTGCGTCTCCATCTTCTCTCCCAAATGCAACTGAAAATTTTAACTGGAAAACGGGTATGTGCATGTCCATCATTTGTGTGTCTAATTTTTTTGGTTACGTGAGAAGTTTGAATAGGGCTACATATGGGCAGGACATGACTCTTGTCTGATGCCTAGCTTGGATCATTATGATTTATCTTTGAGCCTGCTCCCCAACCCAGCCCAACAAAAGCCCGAGTTATTTAGGGCAGGATAGGGTGGTTAGAGAAGCCCACCCTAAGTAATGTAGTTATGCATTGTTCATATTAGGTGAAGATTTCTACCAAATCTAATAAATAATATTTTGTTTTTTAGATGTATTTTATAATTTCATAGTTTAAAATATTTCAAGAGAAGAAATATAAACAATACACTACAAATTCATATGTCTATTTATCATTCCATATCTCTTTATAATTAAATAATCAAACACAACATGATAGGTTTTCAAACAATATCCATAATCAAATATATCAACAATTTAAATATTAAAATATATAATTCTACCATATATATATATGTATATGAATATTACATGTGTATGCATATATATTAAATATAATTATATATAATCAATATATGTATATTATATATGTTAAATATAATTATATATATAAATTCTGGGCAAAGCCAAATAGGCAGGGTAGGATATCTTGCTTGATGCCCGACCCTACCCAACATTTGGCCTTAATTAAAAATGTTTATTTATTGTTTTGGCTGCTTTTTTTAAGGCTATGCTGGGCATAATTTCACTGGGCTAAGGTAGGCATTACAGGCTTTTGGGCCTCATAAATACCCTTAAGTTCAAAAATGAAAATTCAATAATAGACCAAGAACAAGTTTAAACGTGATGACAGGAAAAAAGAAAGAAAAAATCTCAAAAAAATAACTGTTAAAATTCAAATTTTAAATTAAGAATTACTATAAATATATGTTGTTATTTACTTTTTGAGTGTAGTCATTTTCTTTATAAGTACAATAATTAATACTAATTTAAAATTTTGAAATTCAACAATCATTCTTTTAGAATTTTTTCAAAAAAAAAATGGATAGCCTTCTTGTTTAGCCATGAAAACTATGTTTTAACTTTGATCATCCTAATTCAATTCATTAAAGAGGTGTTAACATAATTCCAGTTTTTTTTTTTTTTGTGGGTAAAGATTCGCCTCATTTTTAAAGAAAATTACTTATAAAAAGTAGACGCAGATGGGTATGCCAATCATTATGGCATTTGCATGACAAAATCAAATTTCAGTTACTCGAATTCTTATTGCTTAATTATTATTATTATTATTTTCAATATTTAGATGTATTAATTATACGGTTAAAAATTATATTTGTTTTACAAGATATTTCTTCCTAATTAAAAAATATCAAAAGAAGATAGCAAAAAAAGTGGGGCCTAAATTATAAAATTTCATATGGATAATTCAAATGAGATTATAATGTAATATTCTGTTCTTTTTTTTTCTTTTTTCTTTAACGGTTGTTTTAATTTAATGACCAAAGGGATCCTTAATGCTGCCATTCGTATGGAAGTGACAAATTTTATTTGAATCTTTCACAATTTCATCGCAGGATATTTTAGATGAATTAATTAATCCCCTGCCCTGATAATTAGATATCACACGCCCACCCAGAATAAGAATTTGTTTAACTTTTTTTTTTTTTTGTGTGTGTGGCAAACATGTAACTTTATGTTGCCATCTGGATTATTGCTTTTTGATTAAAGAAATTCAATTGATTAGCCCAATTAACTGTTCAAAATCTAATTACAATACATTATGTTTATTAAACATTAAATATGACCACTTTAAATAATCCATGCCATGAGTATAATACTTAAGGTTATTCAATACTATTTCTGGTCCTTAATATAAGACCTCGTTGGACTTTTATCTCGGTTCTAAATATAAGATCCCAATCCACTTTGTCTCTAATATTTATGCATTTTTTCTAAAATAGTCATTTTAACAACGATAATTCCAATCAATATACTTGATTAGTAATGATATTTTAGGAAAAACAACATCTATTTATTATAAATAATTAACTAACTTTTTTTCGTAATTTTTTCAAATTAGTCAACTAACTCTTATAATTAGGACGGGATAGTATTTATTATATATCCTATATGAAATAAAAAGCGGAATGGGTGGTAAAAATTGAAATCTAAACGGGGATCCGCGTTTAATTGTCAAATATTTTGAATGATTTGACATCAGTGGGCGAGTAGTAAGGGGGAAAAATTAGATACTCAAGTCGATAAAATTATTGCATTGATAAAAAAATCGATAAAATTATCTGTATTATCTTCAATATTTATTTAAAAATATATTTTTTATAAAAAGAAAAATGTAAAATGTTTAGATGTTCCATACACCATGTAAATGAAAATACCCAAAAAATACGAAAAAAATACTATCTATTTCGTAATCTTATTTCCTTGGATATAGATCGCAGCTCTCCCAAATTTCTTTTGCTCTATACACACCCTGCCTTTGTCTGTGGAAGACAGCCGTCGATCTGAGCGAAGGCGTTCGCCGTCTTGGTGAGGGACAGAGGTCTAGGCAGAAGACGCCGTCGATCTGAGCACTCTCTTTTTCCTATTTCGATTTCTTTACTCATCGCAGCTCCAGGGTTCGCAAGCCCCCTTCTCCCCAATTTCATTTGCGTTGCATCCTGCCTTCACCAATGGAGGACCCACCGTCGGTCTGAGCGCCGTGGATTCTTAGGTTTCAATCTTTCTCTCCTTATTTGGTTAATCCTGTGGATGCTGAGATTCTGTATATTATTACTCGTCTTATGTACTGATGCGCTAGTATTCATTTGAATCGTCTGGTTAATCCAATTCATGCCTTTGCTGTCTCCAGTTGGTATCCATTCGAACCTAAGAACTGGGGCAGTTGACTTGTGACTGAATTTGAACTTCTTCCTTTAAATGAGTAATGATGGAGAGTCAGTAGTGCGGAACATAGAAATAGACAATAATCAGATCTGTTTTCTTTGCTGTGATTAAAAGTTGATGGCAAAAATGTTTTATTTTTCAGTTGTTTTGAATAAATGAGGTATTTCGTTTATCGGATGGTTTTGGATACAGATGATGGAAGTGTTGTTGTTTTACATGGGAATCTGGTAGTTCTGGGTTTTTGGTGTTATTGGATGGGAATGGATACTGATAGTGAAAAAATTAGCGGATATTTGCCCGTTGCCTTTCCTACTTGTGTTCTTTTAGGTCAAGCAGATTTTCTCCAATAGTTATCAATACCATATCCGCTTTCCTTTGGCAACTAAAATTTATCAATTTTTCCTTTGGTTTTGGCCACTAACTAAAATTTATCATTTAGATTATCTCTTTGAAGATATTCTTTTAGGTCTAGCAGTTTTCCATTACTTATGATTTTCTTAGTAAAAATCTTTTTCTTTTTTTCTTTTGGGTTTCGGATGTGATACTTGGAAAATTGGAATTTTATTCCTCTAAGAAGACTTTAATTCAGAGGTATATATCTGTAACAGAATTTTTAAGTGATAATGTTGATTTGATTCCTATGTGTCCTGATGGGTCCTTTGGAATTTTGTCCTGCCGTAACTATTTTTAGAGTTTCATTCTTTTCCTCTCATGTACTGCAGAGTCTGTACTAGGCAGGAAGATCAATATGGTGATGTTTTTTGATACCTCCTCTCTGGAACCTTTAATAATTCAAAAGCACGATGGGGACCCTTAAAGCCACATGACATTGCTCTTTTCAAGTTTGGCGGATACATGGCTAATCATTCTTTAGTTTTTAATGATGCTCCTCTCGATTTAGCAGTTCATCCATTAGTCATTGGGCAAGAGTTTCCTGATGTGGAGACCTGCAGAAGAACAATGAAAGATGTCGCAATTGCTATGCATTTTGATCTTCGTATAGTAAAATCTGATCGCAGTCGTTTTATAGCAAAATGCTCTAAAGAAGGGTGCCCTTGGCGTGTTCACGTAGCAAAATGTCCAGGTGGTCCAACTTTTACTGTGAGAACACTACATGGAGAGCATACATGCGAGGGAGTTCACAACCTTCATCATCAGCAGGCATCGGTGGGTTGGGTTGCTAGATCTGTTGAGGCTCGAATTCGAGATAATCCACAATATAAACCAAGGGAAATCCTTCAAGATATTCGTGATCAGCATGGAGTTGCTGTTTCTTACATGCAAGCTTGGCGCGGGAAGGAGCGAAGCATGGCTGCCCTTCATGGAACATTTGAAGAAGGCTACCGACTGCTTCCTGCTTACTGTGAGCAAATAAGGAAAACAAACCCTGGTAGTATTGCATCTGTGGTTGCCACTGGACAAGAAAATAGTTTCCAACGCCTCTTTATTTCTTACCGTGCCTCAATTTATGGGTTTATAAACGCCTGTAGGCCACTTTTAGAGCTAGACAAAGCACATCTTAAGGGAAAATACTTGGGAACATTACTTTGTGCTGCAGCTGTTGATGCTGATGATGCTTTGTTTCCTTTGGCAATAGCTGTTGTTGATGGTGAAAGTGATGAAAATTGGATGTGGTTTATGTCAGAACTACGAAAGCTTCTAGGAGTGAACACCGAGAACATGCCTAGACTTACAATACTCTCTGAAAGGCAGAAGGGCATTGTAGAGGCAGTAGAAACACATTTTCCAAGTGCTTTTCATGGCTTTTGTCTACGTTATGTTAGTGAAAATTTCCGCGACACATTCAAAAATACAAAATTGCTGAACATCTTTTGGAATGCTGTTTATGCCCTTACAGCTGCTGAATTTGAGAGTAAGATTGCTGAGATGATAGAAATTTCACAGGACGTTATACCATGGTTTCAAGATTTTCCTCCCCAACTTTGGGCTGTGGCATACTTTGAGGGTGTTCGATTTGGGCATTTCACGCTGGGAGTGACAGAGTTGTTGTATAACTGGGCCCTTGAATGTCATGAGCTCCCTATAGTGCAGATGATGGAACACATTCGCCAGCAGATTGCATCTTGGTTTAATGAACGCCAAGATATGGGCATGAGGTGGACATCGATGCTTGTACCATCTGCTGAGAAGCGGATTTTGGAAGCACTTGCTGATGCTCACTGCTATCAAGTGCTCCGAGCTAATGAAGTTGAGTTTGAGATTGTGTCTACAGAGAGGACGAATATTGTGGATATAAGAAGTCGAGTGTGTTCTTGTCGCCGTTGGCAGCTGTATGGTTTACCTTGTGCACATGCTGCTGCAGCACTTATTTCTTGTGGGCACAATGCTCATCTTTTTGCCGAACCTTGCTTCACAGTAAAAAGTTACAGAGTGACCTATTCGCAGATGATAAATCCTATTCCGGACAAGAGTCAATGGAGAGAACTTGGGGAAGGAGCAGAAGGTGGAGGTGCCAAGGTGGACATCATAATACGACCACCAAAAACTCGTAGACCACCTGGGAGGCCTAAAAAGAAGGTCCTTAGGGTGGAGAACTTCAAACGTCCCAAAAGAGTTGTTCAGTGTGGTCGTTGCCATATGTTAGGACATTCTCAAAAGAAATGCATGATGCCCCTTTGACAACATTTACTTGTTTTTCCCCAACTTTACCTCTTCATTTTGTTGTTTTAGGTATTCAGATTTCTGAAGGCCAAATAGAATGAATCTAGTGTTTCTGTTGTAATTTATATGTATGCCTTAAGCCACTATTCAGGGTAGCTTCGTGGCATTTCTATGTATGGATAGGGAATGATAGTGTTGCTCTGGACAGAATTATTTGTATAAAGCTGCAGCAAACATTTTTATTGTAATGTTCTTCTAAAGATGAATCTTCGAGATTGACTCATTTTTTCTTCAATGATCAGTAGACGTCACTCATTGGGTGCCGTAAACGATATACCTTTACTCTAAGCCGCCCAAAGAGGAATAATCTCCGGCATCATCTATAATATTGTAGTCTTTTAATTTGAAAATTATAATCTTGAATAGTGCCAAAAGCGATTTGCCTTTAAAACTCCACATAACTCGGGCATTTTTGAGGGAAGGAAAAAATCATCCAAAGCAATAAAGAGTCTTCCATACAGTTCTTGCTGAACGAAATTTTTCCAAAAGGAAAACCGAACAAATTATGAAGTGTGATGAGCTGAGACGATCATCATTTGACATTGACAGCCTTCAATGATTCCCTGGAAAGTTGCACCGTTAGATGAGGGCTTCTGTGCACAAAGACTTCATATCTTGAGGACAAAACTATCTCCTGAATGTTTTCAACTGAGAACTTCATAGCAGTGTCCTTCAACTTCTGGTTGGAACAGGTGTCTGCAATCTCCAATACATCAAGGACATTAGAGATGCTTAGCGAATTCAGCATATGCTGCTCGCATTGGTTCTGTAAATAAGCAATCCCATATTTATCAGCTGCCAATGACAAAGCAAATACATGCTTCCCCATTTTCTCTGGACCCAAGTTCCCTCTGTAGAGAAACTCCAGAAGACTCTCTAGCTCTTCGTAGTTCAATTCGGGTATTGTAATGTTGTTAGTAGGTGCCGCTTTGCATTCATCTGAGTCTAAAATGTTCTTGAAGACCTCTGACCTTGTCGCCTGTAACATCATCAAGTGCAAAATATAATTACCCACCACCAATTCATGAACCTAAACATATGTGTGTGTCTGCATGTATGTACTCACCAGAACTGCTTTATGGGAAGGTATTGGAGGGCCATGGTTGCCAGGAGTGACAGTTATATCAGTGTGGGTTTGTGATCTAAATGCATCAACAAAGCTTTCAAGGAAGGCTAATTGATGTTTATGTTCATTCATCTGATCCAACTGCTGCGTATACCATCTTTTAAATGTCGAAAGTGACTGCGCACCACAAATAATAATCTCATTCTGACTTAGCAATTGATTTAAATCATTGCAGAAATTATGACAGTATTCGATTATAACAAGGTTTGTGGAAACCTCATCATGATGTAAAATTGAACAACTGAAAGCGATGGACTTAGTTGTAAGCAAAATATAAGGCGTGAAGAAAAGAGCTTGCCTTACTCGAATTATGGGAGGGTGAAGCTGGAGAGGCGTTAGGATTATCCATTGTTTCATCAGATTCAAGCTTGTTCATCATATTAAGAATGCTCCTGGCTCCTTCATAGCAGGCCCCACATATGGTATTCCTGGGTGGCCTTAATGTCAATGGCATTGTTGTGCATACACAGCAATCCATCTCTGATCACTTTTCTTCTTCTCCTGCTTCTTCTTTCCTTGCTGTTTCTTAAAACCTGAAGAAATGGAAGTTCTAGTTCTGAATCTGCAAACACAATATATATAATATTTATTTCCAATATTGTTTCTGTTAGGAACTTGTGATTTCCCAACTCATTATCCTTTTACACGGACACAATCATGATTATCCTGTATGCATCGTCTGAATATTTTAGTTTGGAAGTCATCTGAAATGTCCAAACTACCCCTCACTTTCAATTTCTTAGCCTGAGATGATGGAGGGAGAGGGCAGACTGGGGTACGAGAAAAGAGAAAGCAGTTAAGAAGTTTGGTAGTGCATCTTTTTAGAGTAGTGATGGAGAAAAGTTGTTAAGAAAGCAGAGAGGAATATATAGAAGAAGGAATCAGACAGTTTGGAAGAAGACTTTGCAACCACTTTCACAGCACAAATTTGCAAGGAAACCATTATATATCCATCTATCTTTAACAACTTCTGTGTCCATTTGTTAATAATTTTGGGATCCAATAATAAAGCATTGATTAAGCCTTATTTATATATTCAGTATTCATATCACAATGAGGTCTTTGAACAAGGCCAACCTGGATAGTTAATTCTCATTTGAGGGAATAATTAGATCAACCAAACACGCTCTTATTCTTTTCTTTTTTTCAAAAAAAAAAAGGGACCGATAGCATGCATGCATGGATCAATAATATCTCTATGGATCATCCCCCAGGTGTCCAACAATATTGAATCCAGTTGAGAAATTGGTTAGCCAGGGAAAAAAGTTAATGAAAAATTGGACGATAGGAAAAACCTAGCCCATCATTTGCTTAATTAATCCTTGCTCTTTTAAATATTATGTATTGATCTACACAATATTTTTTTTCAAAAATAAAAATAATTTCACAGAAATTATATAAGAACTCTACAATAAATGGTTGAGCTAAACAGAGGAACTAGTCCGATGCCAAAAGAGGGGAAAAAAAACAAAAACAAAGGAACTAGTAAGGGTATAACGTACAAACCTTATACTTTGAATTTCAAATAAAACCTGTGACCAGAAAAATAAAATAATTAGAGTCAATTATTTCACTACTCATCGATCTTTTTTTTTTTTTTTTATATATTTTAAAGTGCAAAAAGAATCTTTTCAAACGCATAATTAGACCGCCTTGCTTTTACAACAAAATTAATATGAGCTTCTAGTACGGTAAGCCTACTAGGCTATAAGGTATAAACCTTCTACATTGAATTTTAAGATATTTGGATTTTCCCTCTCTTGTGTACTCTCATGAGAACGGTGCTCATAGCATTGACAACTCATCCCATTTAGAATTTTAAATCATCTAGATTTGACCTGAATAATCTAAATGAAATGTTTTTAATTAGTTATCTTTAAATAAATAAAAGCATTTTTAATAAAGCGATAGTAAAAAGATTACTTTCATTTTACATTCTATACTTATTAAAATAATTATTTTAAAAAATTAAAAATTGAAAATATTAAATCTGGAGATCATATCTTGACGGTTCAAAGAGGATAAGCTTTGGAGATGAGTACCTGACTCGGTTCTGTTTGTGTGTGTAATATATATATATATATATATATATATATATTCAAATGCCCGTGGCGAAATTCAATCACAAGAACACTTAATTAGGTTCAATGAGGTAATTATGTTTTAGGCTGAAGAGAAGAGCAAAACTTGCGAGAAAATTGTATCTGCATTATAAGAAGAGGGGGGGGGGGGTTTCCACTGCATATCCAGAATCCATGCAGACTGATAGTGATAACTTATAAGATAACAAAAGCAACAACCATACAAAAATCACATGTGAAATTATTAGGGCGATGATGAGATAGAGCCTTGGATTAGAAAGGAGAAAGGAGCTCCCATTCGACCAACTTTCTGATATCAGAACGAGCAGTCTCCGCCTGTGGTTTTGGTGGCCGAGCATCAGAAGAAAGACGATTCTCATAGTAGTGATAAGCGGCAGCACTGGAGAGCACAGCCAGTGTTAATGCCTGAGCATGCATCCTACATCCAAAACCAAACCAACCCAAAATTAATTTCATCAAAGAAATTAGTTAAAAGTTAACTGAGCATAAGAGCCCCACCAAAATGTTACCTGGCATGAATAAGTCTGAGGCTAGGTTTCATAGCAGAGGTTTTGCGAGAGTTAGCCAGGAAGGATGCCCCTATTCCTGCGGCCCATACCGCCCCTGCAGTTCCAATCAACACCCCCATGAGTAAGTTATGTAATTTCCTTCACTGAGAGAGAAGGAGAAAGACAAGAGGGTCGTGAATGTAAGATGACATACCAATGGAAGCGAGCTTGTGTTCAGAAACCCAGGAATGAACTGACATTTTGGTTGTGTGCTGTAAATGTCCGGTAAGGTGTTCGAAGAATTGCGAATGAGAGGCGACGAGTGGGAGTTTGGTGAAGTGGCATGCAAGGGGAAGATTGATTATTTATAGAACAGAGTTGATGCTGGGTATAGCCCCAGGGTTCATTGAGAGTGTGTTACAGAGGGCAGGGGAACACTGAAAGCCCCCAAAACCAGAGGCTTCTTCCTTGGCTGGTTTTCTTTGTGGGTGGCAGGTGCGTTCAGTTCAGCTCAGACCATGTATGTGCTTTATTGTCAAAATCCCTTCTTTCTTTTCACTGACACAGGAGGCATGAGGTTCAGCGAGCCAATGGATTTATACTAGATAGTTGATTCTCACATACTCTCAATGGCCGTCCTTGACCACGGAATTTTTAATAATATAACTTCTCTCTTCTCAGCCCCTTAATCTACGTTCTTTAATTGGAAGATGCAATCTGTGGATTAAAAGAAGTGGTGGGCACAGCAATTTCCTAACATGGGTAAATGATTGATACACTTTAGCACGTGTCTTAGCTTTCATGTAAAGCCGCACATGCATGAATTTCCCAACAAAAAGGTGGGAAGAAATATTAAGAGGAGTAAGGGTTAAAAAAATATCATAAACTTATATAAAAAAAATTTCACCCGAGGCTATAAATTTTTTTTTTTTGCGCTTAAATTTACTAAGGTAAGTTCAAAAACAGCCCAACAATGATGAAGCCATTAAATTAAGAAAACGTCAGTTACTTTTAATGGTGAAACCCACTATATTTTTAATGAAAATATTAAAAATACCCATGATATTCTAATACTTTTATTAAAAAATTATATGGTATTTGGTGAATTTTTAGCATAAGTTTATGAGTATTTTTTAACACTTAACCTATAAACAAAATTAGTTTTTACAATTTATACTCTGTTTGAGATTTAGTTGCTAAATTTTGTTTTGATACGATTTAATCTCATTAATTTTAATTTAGTTGAAACTCAATCTTTTAATTTTAATTATTTAAAATTTTAGTTCATAAATTTCAAAAAATGTGTAATTTATTTTTTAATATATATGGATGGATACTTTAAATAGTTAAAAATATAGTAACCATATGGATGGATATTTTCAAGATTCAAAGTTTATTTGCTTTGGAGCTATGTGCGGCCGAAACAGTGTCATGTCAAAGGAGCAACATCCAATTGCGTAAAAAGTTAAATGAACTTTTTTAATGAAGGCAGTCTCAAAAGTTGATTGAGGGGAACTTCGCTGTGAATAATGGCCAACAGATTGTGAATTTCCAATAGCGGGGAAGTCAATTCTGTTTCAACAAATATAAACACACACGTAAATGCAACTAACATAAGCTTTTCACTTTTCACCCCCCCCCAATAAAACAACTTGCATCATAAGCATTACTTGGCATTCTTATATTCGCTTCATCTCTTATATAAGTCTTAATTTAAAAAATTAATATACGCTAACAAAATATTTATAAAAATCTATGTGATCTCTAAAAGTTGGTTTTTTAATTTTATTATTATTGTTGTTGTCAGAAAAAGAATGGGATGCGTAATTTAGATTTCATATACACTAAGAAAATATTAAAAGCGCTATGGTAAAACTTGCCAGTTGACTCTCTGAGTTTAACGTTTTTACATTTTCAGCTAACAAAATCATGTCGATTCACTCTTAAACTTGTGATAATTGTAAACTTGATTAAACTTACGAGTTTATTTACCGAGTTTACTATTTTTACGTTTTTAACTTACAAAATCGTGTTAATTTGTTCTTAAACTCATGCTAAATTTTTGGATTTGATTATGTTTAGTGACTTTATATATGAATTTTATAAAAATTTCTTTGTTGAATGTGATAAATTATGAACATTGATGAATATAATTTTAATTATTTAAATTTAAAATATATTTAAATGAAATTGTTCTCATTTTTTATATATTAATTATTTGATTATATACTTTTAATACCAGTTTATTAATAAAAGTAAACTCTTATGAATTTATAATCTGAGTTTATATCATTATCACGAGTTTATTTAAACTCGTGAGTTTGACAACTTTGATTAAAAGAAATATGCATTGTATTTAGAGGGGGGAAAACTAAAAATTGGGACCTATATTTAGAGATAGACGGAATACCAGAGGTTGGTTTCTCTTTATTTTATATATATATATATATATATTTTCAATTCACCGTCACTATAATTTTAAATTTTTCAGATCAAATTTTAACTCACGAATTTATTTAAATTTGTATAAGTTATCAAAATTTGAATCCCCAGATATAATTCAAAGATCCTCCACTTCAGAAACATTATTGTCATACCCATGACAAAATCATGATGTAAGAAACCCGCAGATTTTGCACTATCTGTACTCCTCCGGTTTTTGATATAGGACCCAATTATTGAGTTAGTTTTAATCCTAAATATAATACCTATTTATCATATTTATTAATTTTCTTTAAATTACCCCTATAAATACTTTCTCAACCATAATTAAGTAGAAGAGGGAGAGGGGATATTAAGAAAGATGATTATGGTGTTTTAGGAAAAATGTGTCACTTTTCTTATAATCAACTAACTTACGTAACTTTCTTAATCTAATCAAATTAGTTAAATGGGTCTTATATTAAGAGCAAGAGGAGTTTAGTAGAGTATTTAAAGGAGGCTCACTCCGCCAATCTTTTTTATCCTACGGTTGAAATGAGTATATTTTCTTTTAACCATGAACTATATATATATATATATATATATATATATATATATATATATGGACACGACCAATCCACAAACAAATACAAGCAAGAAAGGAGTACTAATTGCCCTGGTGAGGGCATTAAATATTGTTTTAGAAGAAAGGAGTACAAACTTTAGGAGAGGAAAGAAAAAAAAACAGGGGTTAAAATTTCATGTATTGCTCATAACTAGCTAACTCAAGTTTATTAACAGAAAAATATCTAATGAAAGAGGTTCAGCTAGCAGGTGGTATATAGCCAGGATGAGAATCGTGAAACTGGCATGCTCATTTGCTTTCTCTATATAAAACCTTGCACGTTTCATAAATTCATCCTGATCATCCCTTATCCTTTTTTTACGAAGAGATGAATCTGTTCCAACAGAACCTATTTGTGAGCCCATTTCTGTGAGTTTACTGTCGAAGACTTGCTTCAGAACACAGCAAGCAATTCCTGTATTGCTTCTAAGCATATCCATCTAAATATCTTCTGCCATTTATTGTTTCTACGCCCTGTCACCCTCTGAAGGCTGCCTCTGTGGCTAGCTCATCGTTTGACTATTCTCTATATTATTTGGCTTCTTCCATGTCTTTTGATTTGTCTCTATGTTTAACAAGCTGCTACGTGTCTTGGTCTGATTCCAGGATTTGGGTTCTGTATTTGGCACTGTTTATTCTCGTTGTGAAGTCGCAGTAGACGATGTTCTTCTGAGGGATCTGCGACAATTCCTTCCGCCACGTGTTTTCGTAAGACGAAATGAGGAGAGAAAGAAAGAAACAGAGGGAAAATGATGCCAAAGTTGACTTATCTCATTCATTGATACGTTGGAATAGGGGTGTTCACAGTGCTCGTTGGCCCGGTGTGTCGCCCGAGCTTAAGGTCAAAAAAACCCTACCTAACCCGAAAATTTGAAACTTGAAAAATAAAAACACTTTTGGATAGGGCTGATCACAGGTATGATTGGGCCGCAGGCAGGGTGCCTTGCCGTGACCGAGATATTTATAATTATATATTATGATAATATGTAATATAATACTCCTCCGGTCCTTAATATAAAACCCATTTAACTAATTTGATTAGATTAAGGAAGTTAGGTAAGTTAGTTAATTATGAGAAATGTGATGCGTTTTTCTTAAAACACCATAATCATCTTTCTTAATACACCATCTCCATCTTCTACTTGATTATAGTTGAGGGAGTATCCATAGGGGTAATTTAGAGAAAATTGATTAATGTGAAAAATTGGTCTTATATTTAAGACCAAAACTAACTCAATAATTGGGTCCTATATTTAGGACCGGAAGAGTATAAGTATATTTATATTTTCAGTTTTTATTTTTTATTTTAATTCTTTCAAATTACTTCCCAACCCTAGCCGCCCCCTTCCCCCCCATTCGTGACTTCTGCTTGGTCTCCCTCTCACAGTGTCGGCCTCCTGTCTCCCTGAAAGTCTCGGTCTCTCTAATCTCTATCAGTTCAGTCACAACTCACGCCTCAGTTTTGCCTCAGTTCAGTCCCTGACTTTTGCAGCTCTTCCACTTCAGTTTTGCCTCTAGAACTCTCTCCCAATCATCCCAGAACTTCAAGTTCCAGTACCACAAGCAGCCTCTCCTTTTTGGCCCCATCTCTGTCCACCTCATCTAGTACAGTAAGTTCTCTTTGTCACCTATTTCATCACCTCCCTCTCCTCCTCCAATCCCTCCACAACCCCACCCTCCGTCGCCATATGGTAGAAAACCATTCAGAAATTCTACAACCCCTCGGTCTCCCTCTTAGAGTCTCGGTCTCCCTCAACTCACCATGATCGACTCCTCACTGGGATCTAGTCTTCACTTTGACTAGTGACAATGAAACAGGAAGGCGCAAGCCAACCAGTCCGTCTCTCCCATCTCAGGTCAGTTTTCATTTCTATTTCAGTTGCCCTATTTTTTCATATTGATTTGCTTGTTGGGTTTGTCTGTTTACAATTTTGAATTCTATTTCAGTTGCCTAATTTGGAATTTTGCATACCAATTTGCAAAGTTATATTATCAGTCTTGGTCCAATTTGCATACCAATTTTGAATTCCTTTTGTTGTTTTCTGTTTTGCCTAATCCTCAGGTGATGAATTTACTCAAATGCAACTCTAAATTTTGCTATAATCGTTTTAGTTTATTGCACTCTGGATTCAATCTGTTTCATCGTGGGTTTAGTTTATTGCACTCTGTTTCATCGTTTTTCTATTCACTTTTTCAGTCATTTTCTTACATCAAATGGGTTTCATCGTTTCATCTGTTTCATTGTGGGTTTATTTTAGTATTTGGAATAACAGAGTCATCTGAAATGAATCAATTGTATCAAATGGTATATTGTGAGTTGTACTTTATATCAGTATTATTGTATCATTTCAAATTTCTTGCTATGATTCTGCTTCGACTCATTTCAAATTTCTTGCTATTTATGTATTGATATATTTTTAAAAAATGGTTTGTTGAATTATATGTGAAACAACCTTCCTAAATAAACAAATAAACCTATTTTTTTTTAATAGTAACTTTAAGAAATAACTTTTTATAACCAAACCATGCTAAATACAAACTCAAATTATATCACAATCATCTACACTAACTAATTATATAATATTGTTATCCGTGATAGAAAAGAGCAGCACCCAATCATACATCCTATCACGGATAAAAGAACTTTTCTTAACTCATTTAAATACACACTATATAAGAAAGGATCAATCTTATCTAATATGGTTATAAAACAACATATAATATAGCTCATAAATCAAAATATTAAAAATTAAATCTTAACTCATACTTTATAATAAATTCATAAATAAATCACATGGGAATATGCGATCCTAGGCCTCTGGCCGCCTATCAGCACACATACCACAATAGTACACTCAAAGGACATAAGAAATAATAATGCATGAATCAATTAAAACCAATTTGTCCTAAGGTGACAATATACAGGATACAACATAGCTCATAAACCGAGGAGACGCTACAAGTTGCTGATGTAACTTTACTCCTCCTGAGCCTTCCCTGACGTCCCTCTTTTAAAGCTTTCACCTGAAAAATGTTAAATAATAGGGATGAGACAACATCTCAGTAACTAAACCCCTACCTATTACACACCATAGCATGGCTAGCGAGGTGTCAGGTAGGATACACAGAGTTAATAATAATTGATAAACATTTATTTAACATTTAAACTCACAATAATCATATAAGACAAATATTTCCACCACTCTCATGCAATTGATATATTTCAAAAGAAATAACATACTTATTATTTATTTAACAGATATAAATATCAATGAATATCCCATGTCATATGCAATTCCTGAACCCAAATCCATCCTTATATCCTCCTTATTTCCGCCGACTGGACCCATGGGCTAAGTTCTTTCCATTTGACTGGCTACTCTGACAAGCTCACCACTCGAGTGATATGGACCGGCCAAAGACCACAGAGCACTCGGTGGACCATGGGTCCCCCCTTGAAGAACTAGTGGGGTGTCGCAGTCCCTCGAAGAAATAGTGGGACAATAATAGTGGCCAACCATAGAGCTCCGTATGGAGGCCGATACCACGTGGTAAGTATATAAATCTCAATAACTCCAATCACCTCCTTTCCTCACCCAAAATAGATGCACAGGGTTCAAAATGACACATTTATATGCATAATCAACAGAATTTCATAATAGCACATCATAATCATGATCACCAATTTCTTGCAATACAAATTATGTCAATCTTTTTTTTTTTAAATAGCATCCCACAAGACAGTTCATATAAAACGTAATATACTTTTATAGAATTAGTTATAAAGCCGCTCACCAACTTCATACTAGAGCATGCAACAGATAGAAATTTAGTTACCTGGTCTCCTAGCTAACAGTCAACTACAACCAGAGTCCAACCTCGAAAATGCCACAATAGAGTTTATATCTACAAACAAAATTAAAATATTATCTCTATAGTATTAGAGTAGGCTACTCACAAAATTTTAGCCTCTAACTCCTCCTCTAAAAGCTTTAATTTTACTCAGAACTCTAGCCTAAAAGACATTTCTCTAAGGTTTGGAATGAGAACATATATATATATTTATATATGTGTGTGTGTGTGATTTAGACTCGATTTCCTGAATTTTCCCTTACATAAATATCCTTTAATTATTAGATTATATTATTAGAATCATCAAATTCATAATGCAAATAGACAAACTATAAATTTATATCTTATATTCCATCTTCAAAGGACTTAGACAAATAGACTTAGTATGAACCAGGTTATTCTCACTACAGAAGTTAAACCCTTAATCTAACCATTGAATTTAATTTTCTATCTATCATGATACTATCCTCCAAATTATAGCTCAATCTAACGGTGAATGGACTTTAAAATGCTAATTTACTATTCAGGACTCTATTTGCTAAATCCAAAAGATATAAGTTAAAAACGTACCTAATAAATTGTAACTCGGAGATCAAAATGATGATCTAACCGTTGAAATTAACGATTTGGATGTCCCAAATGGGCTGACCAAATTTTAGTCCGATACAACGGTTAATAAACTCAAAACTAGCACTTTTCTGAAACTACCTCAGATATGTGCGAAAATTATTTACTCACTTCAAGCTCCACTCACTATCTCCTATAAATAGGCTCCTCAAACTCCTTCACTCTAAAGATTAGTCGATGTGGGACTTCTTAACATTGCTATTTTATCCACTTCCTATCATTTAATCAATGTGGGACTTCTTAACATCGTTATTTTATTCATTTTCTCATACACACACACAAAATCAGAATTATTTTAATTACATATATGTATATTTAACCTCTACCTATTCTATAAAAATTTGTTTAAATATTAGATATATGAAAATTAGGATGTTACAATATGATATTGCAGCTGCAATGGATCATAAAACTTCTATTACATTACCATCCCAGACTGTTGGTGGAAGGTCTCAAGCTGCTTCAACCCCTCTTCAAACACCCCGTCTGTTTTGGATGATTTTACTTGATTTGGATTATTTTTGAATGATTTTAATGTGCCAAAATGTAGAATTATAAGATATAATTTTTAGGTGTGGATAAAATTTTTTTGCCCATAACATGAGGGCAAGGCATCACTCTTTGGGTAATAAAGCCTGCCCTGCCCAGCCTTACCCATGCCCTGTCCAAAATGATTAGGGCATTTATGGCCAGGTTGCAGCCCGCTCTTACTTCAGGCAAGACATCAGGCAGGAGCCCAACCCTGTTCATGTGCATCCTTACATTGGAATATGCTTTTTTAAAAAAAAAAAAATCAAAACTGAATATTATTCCTATTAAAAAGTGTCAATTTTTTGTTCTAGAAACTACTCTCCACATCACCCCCCACCCCAGGAGAAGAATCTGAGCTTTGAAGTTAAAGATCGGGTAAAGGAGTAATATGAAATATCCAAGCGTCTCATAATCCTTGTCTAGATGGGAAAGATTTAATGAATTAAGGCAATAAAGGGTCCGTTGTATTCCATAATCTTGTGTTTTCTTAAAAAGAAAAAATTGCTCTTGCTCCTCTTAGACTAAATTAACCATATCTGAAAGACAAGTGAGAAATTTCAATTGTAAAAAGCAATATGTCACCTCTGATCTTAAATATAAAAGTTAATCAACGGTCATAAATATAATATTCTAATTTATTTTGTTTTATAAATTTATTATGTGTTCTCAAAAATCTCCACTCAAGAGTAATTTTAAAAAAATCAATATGTATTTATTATAAATAATTAATTTAACTAATTTTTTTTAGCACCTACCATCGAGACAGTAGTATTTATGATTATTATTTGAATATGATTGAATTGGAAAAAGGAGTTGACTGTATGAATGCCTATGAAAGTGGTCCACTCATGACAACTTGTTTCCTCTGCTTTCTTTCTGGCCGGCCCATTCTTGCTTTAATTTACTTTTGTTTCCACCTCAAATCTTATCATTATATCTTCTTTCTTTCTTCCTACCCTCCCAACCAAACCCAAAAATGTTCCTTCCTCCGTTCTTCCTTCTCCGAAATAGCTACCTTTGCAATTTGTGGATGGACCGACCAATAATTCGACTTCTCATCATTTTAACCTATAATTTCAGTTGCCTATTTTACTTTTATCAATCTTATGACACGACACTTATCAAACACTTCTTAGTTCTTATGTATTAACCTTTTTATTTGATTTGATTACACTCACACACACACACACACAAGTCTTCAACTTATGTTTTAGTGTAAAATCGATATGTAAAATATGGAGTGACATTTCTTTGAGAAAAACATAAATGAGATCAATTTAATTGGAAGTTGTTTGTATATATCCATGTTGGTTTTGCAATTGACTCTCTCTTCCCCATTATCTTGCCGTTGTGCGTGAGCTGGCCAATAAATTCCATGTCTCAATCTAACCCATAATTGCACTTAGCTGTATGAACCTTACCATACAAAACGTTATACTCCTTTGGTCCTATTTATAAGGCACTTTCAACATGTTTCACATAGACCAAGAAAAACCTTAAACTGCATTAACTCTCCATTAAAATATAGCAACTTTTCAACTTTACCCCTATTTAATATATGCTCCTTTCAAAAAAGATAACTACTTACACTATAATAAATGAAGGACAAAATGGTACATTCACACTGAAAATTTAATGAAGTGACTTATAAATAGAACCAAAAAAAACTTTCTCTCTCTACCCTATAAATAGGACCAGAGGAGTATATCATCAAGCCCTTTTTAGAGATAACGATTATCGTCAGTGAAAAGAATAATTAAAAAATAATAATGATTCGCAGGGAACCAGCCAATCAAACATGTTCAGATATAATGTGTCCCGCCAAAGGATGGAAAAGGAGAACACAGATGATTTGAATCGTTAATTTGAGTCGACCCTGAACTTTCCTATCAATATGCTAATGCCTCATTCATCCAATTGGCCAGCACAAGAAGAGACAACGTAACAATAGTGTCAATATCATTCAGTTCAATCCAACAAATTAAATTAACTTCTATTAGTTAATTATTATATATATCGTTCTTTGTTTTAAAGAACAAATAACCTGCTCATGAGGGTTTTCTTTCAGTAGCTTGGCAATATTGTACGTGAAAGTGATCGATGTCCAAAAGTAATCTCAGTGTCAAGGCACAACTCACCGCCAATAGGATGATAGATGGGGGAATAAGGCTTGTCTCATATATACTTCGCTTCTTTTCTTGTCTCTTTTGGTTTTGGATATATATAAGAGGTATTATCTTTATGTGCCGTTCCTGTTATGCAACAACTTATTCTTTATTCGTTTCCCTTCGCAATCTATTAATAACGTACAATGCATTCCTTGTATTGATTCCTTGAATGAAAAGCTATATAGTAGAACATTTATGATGAGGACATGCAGATCTTTTTTATTGTCACATCATTCGGATATTAAGATTGCAAGGGTAATGAAGCTCTCTCAATGATTTTATTTCCCGATTGGAATGATATCTCTCAACAAATAGCTGGAGGCTAGTCCTCTCAAGACATAGAGATAGCTGAAATGAGTTTTGCTTCTTTCAACAAAGTTATTTTTATGTACGTGTTCAATCCCAAAACTTGATATTTGAGGAACTCAGTCATCTACCAGCTGTATCTGGTTTGTTGGTGCCCTCTCAATGAATTTATAATGCTGGAGTTAAAACTTCTAGCAAAGTAGGAGCACAATTGCAACAAGCTGAATTAAATGCTCATAATGGATAAAACATGCAGATATTTTCACCCCTCGGTTGCAAAGAGACATGATATACATAGTTTCGCTTCTAAGACATCAATATTTATATTGATGTTTACATTGCGAAATTCTGAAATTACAAAAAACCAATTTAATGTTTCTGAACTATAAAATTTTTGTTCAGTGAAACTTTAATTTTAAAATAATGATCCACCAATTTTCAAAATAATTTTGAAGCTGAAAATAATTTTAATACTACCTCTAGTTCATAATATAAGACCCAATTGACTAATTTGGAAAGATTAAAAAAGTTATTAAATCACTTTAAACTATTTATATTCATCATTTTTTTAAAACTAATTTACTTCACTTATAAATTGATACATAATCTAATGACACATGTAAATATTTTAAAAAGATCATTTATTATATGCTGTAATTTAGTAACTTTTTTAACTTTTTTAAATTAATTAACTGAGTCTTAATGAGGATTGGAGGAGGTAGTATGAGTACATCTCTAGTCTATAATCTTTATTATTCTTTTTTATGGTTATTTTGTTTCCTCATTATGACTGGTAACCGAGGCGTCAAGTAGGAACTATGCAAGTTGCAGTTGGAACAGCTGAATGAATGTGGATGAGTTTTCGGTGCTGGTTCAAGCATCCTTTGCTTGACATGCCTTCCCCTTTTCAATTAATCACAATTAAGGCGTTTAAAGAATCATAACACTGTATAGTGGATGTATAAAAAAAATCGTGTTAATATAAACTTTGATCCTTCATGTTTGTCCTCATTTTGATGTTGGTCTATTAAGCTTCAAATTATAAGTTTTAGTTTCTTAAGTTTTTTTTTATTTAAAACATTATTCTCTATAATCTAATAAAAACTTGAATCATTTTACTCTTGAGAAACTAAAACGTATGATTTGAAATTTAAGCAACCAAAATCAAAATAAAAACAAATCTGAGGAATTAAAGATTATATTAACCCAAAAAAATCTACAAATTTTCTTGATCAATATTATATCTACCTGTTTGTTTTGGTCACAATACTAGTCATTGATGGGACATATATAAATGTACCTAATATAATTTTTAGTTTTTAAAACAAAATTAGAGGAACTACCACACTTCCACTTGGAAAAAGTGAATAACGTAACATACACCAGCCATTGGTAGGACACATCCCAAATGATTGAGCGATATATATACAATTTGGGACATTATACAAACATTTTAAAGACTTGTCTAATCGGATTAGCGTCACTTCAACTTGAATATATTAAATTAAACTAGCCCAATATCTCATGTTCATGTGTTTATAGCCAGCTATTTAGAATAAGTATGCAATAAATTGAAACGACTTTTATATAAGCCTTCCAACGATAGTATTTGTTATTTTGTATTATATATGGTATGTTAAATTAAAGGATGAGACGCTAAAAAAAAAAACTCTTAATTAAAGCTTTTTTAAAATATTTACCACTTAGTGTCAGTATCGATGGCCATATACATAATCATATTCGAATGAAAACTTCAATTATCTAAAAAGCTAAGTAAACGTGAACCATATACAGATGTTATGTACATTGTATTCATATTACTAGCTAGGAGAAAAAAACTCGATCGCAAATATGTATGTCAATCTCTATCAAAAGTAAAACATTGATAATATGCTACTACTTCCTCTTATTAATATAAGAGCTAATTAACTAATTTGAGTAAATTAATAAAGTTTGTTAAGTTAATTATTTGTAATAAATAGATATTTTTTTTTATATAATGCCTTTGATAATTATATATATTAATTAGAACTACTATTTAATGGAATCTTTAACATTTACAACTACTACAAGGACTACTTTAAAAAAAAAATAGATAAATATGAGAGACAAAGTGAATTTAGGGTCTTATATTTAAAACTAAATTAAAAATTAAACTAGATCTTATGTTAAGTATCAATGGTAGTATTATATGTGCACTTGCTTCATAAAGTCAACCCAAAAAAATTAAATAAATACTAAAATGGACCCAAAGCTAAGGAGGAGTGGGAGACAAAATATAATGACAAGGCAGTGATAGAAAGGGCGGTGGGTACGAGTTGCTAAATCCTTAGCTTCCATTGGCCAGTTGGACAGTAAGCCCACAAACAAAGCATTGCATTTATGTTGTGTTTAATAAACATTAATCATCATCAAGTTGAAGATTCCAAGTATCTCTCAGTGGTTCTTCTATTTTGGCTGCACGCTTTTTAACATATATATGATCTAATCTTATCGAACCTTTTGGCTCTATTATATTATAGCTCCACTCTTTATATAAATCTGTACACCCTGAGAACCTAATCAGTCATATTATTTCCCCCCTCTTTAGCTTCCATTGCCTTTAACTCTCTCTTCTTTGAAATTTCTTCAATGGAACCCCAATCATCAGAGTATACCAGAGATGGCACTATCGACTTTCGTGGTCGTCCTGCGCTTTCATCTAAGACAGGCAAATGGAGGGCTTGCGCTTTCCTCGTTGGTCAGCATCTTTCTATTCATATTCTGTTCCTTTTTTCAGTGTATTTTCTCAGACTATGAAGGTTTAGTTTTGTTCAGTGTCATCCAACTGAAAAAT